GTGCACAAATATTATATTTAAGATGTATGCACTTTATTATTCGCCGTTAAAAATCTAAACTTTTATTTTTGTAACTAAAATAAATAAAATTCTAATAATTTTATTACTGTGTTTCATTTTCGTTCTAAAATGATTTAATCTTATTCCTAAAACAGCCGGAAACGCTCAGTAATGAATTAGGTTAAGAGTGTAAGAAATAGTTTACATTTTTATTCTTGTTTACTGAATATCCTTTTCAACTAAGCCTTTATTTTTATTCCGAATTCTTAAGGACTTAATCGAGGCCTTTGTTTACAAAAGAGTTTTTGTATACCATTGCTTCAGCGATGCAATCAATTACTACTTGAAATACCCTCTTAACTGAGATGGATATTGAATAAAGTTGTTTCATAAGATATTAAGTAAGAATTGAGTGTTGTGTTTATTTTGCACGTGCATTTCACTATAATAAACGCATTTTCTTTCAACTTGGAAAATTTTAATATGTAAATCAAAATTGTGCACTTAATTCTTCAGTTTGTTTAAAGCGAGACAGACAGATAGAGGGATGTTAAAATATATGTTTCAATTTGTAGTTTTCAAATATATTATTAAATAAATTTTTATGAAAATAGATAAAACTCATGTGTTTTTAATGATCTATTTACAAAAAACTACTCAGTATACGCAAAATATTAACAAATAAAATTAAGATAGTTAGTGATGCGAATGCAAAACTTAGCATTTGACTGATAATAACAAAATGAGATTTTTTTTTTAAAAAAGCATAAAAAAAATATGAAATAATTAATGTTCAATATATAATTGAAAACATTTATTTAATGCTGTTATTGTGCAACTCAATTTTAATTTAAGTAATTAATGTCTGAATTGCAAATTCAGAGTTACTCATATGGAGTAATTAAATACAATGCTAATGAAATTTATAACAATTGAACTTACAAATGCTAAAATGTTGAAAAATATTCATTTAATACAGTTAATATTTAAATGACTACACAGGTAATATTTTGTACAATCAGTTAAAATGTTAAGAACTATGAAGCTTTTGTGTCATTTCGTATTTTAAATATATACAGCAGTTCTGAAATTACCGGCTTTATTGTAGGTTTTTGAACCCTTTTCAAAATTAAGGTAAAAAATTTGCACACATAAGGGGAGGAAATTAGCATTTAAGAGAGAAAGAAACAAAAACGTTCAATCACTAGTAAGGAAGGAAAGAAGATCAATTAACCATGAAAATATGATATTCAAACTGTGAATTGTGAGAAAAATCATCTATGGACTGTTTTCTCCTAGTATTGTTAAACAATCAGAATTTCATCCACACAACTTAGTTTTATTTAGCCACTTGTTTTCTACAGCTGGGTAGGTATTATAGCTGAGAGGGCTATTCTGTCAATCTCATGACTGGCTGAATGAGGGTGAAGAATTTCCAGGATCCTGAACTCCCCAATTGGTGACAATGGACAATTACAATACAATATTCTGATTCATGCATAGGTGGAAGCACCACAGATCTGCTTAACACAGAAAAGTCTAGTATTTATTATCTTTCACGTTAGATGGCACCAACAGATGAACTAATTAAGCCACAATTCATGTTTCATTTACTCATCCAAAACCTAACTCATATCTCAAACCTAACTTAACTCAAATCTCAGTTAAATTTCATATTTACGGTTTTGAAACCGTGATAGTTGCAAATAGTTGAAAAACAATTTTCATGTATGGTTTTTTAATCATACCAATTGTAAGCGGTTTTAAAATTGCTGAGATAAGAAAAATGTTCCTATCCGTGAAATTTATGGTTAATTGAATGGACAGAAAGTTGCAGGTTATTTTACTGTAAATTTCGAATGAAAATTCCAGCTGAGTAGAAAAATGCTCTAATGGTAAACAACATCTTTTCCTTGGTATATCACCTTGATGTTCTCACAGTTCCATAGTAATTAATATCAAAAAGGTAAACATTTATTTTAATGAATGCTTTTTGTTAAATTCTAAGTTCTTTCTTTCCTAGTTTCAACACGCAAACTAGTTTTGACTATTTTAATCTCGCTTTCTCTGTAACTGACCTCTATAGTGATTAGTTGAACTTGCTAACATTGTGGCTTTTTTCAATGTTAACAATGATTCCTTATATATATATATACTGTAAAACTTGAGTAAGTTGACCACTTGTGGTGCATTGTTTAAGTGGTCAACTTATAGAGGGGGTGGGTCATTGTTTACTTTTTCGTTTCCTATATCATGTTGCTATATATTTAAATTTTTTTTTGCTTGACTTAAAAATTTTATTCAGAAAATATGCCAATGAATATCATAAGAAATGTGTTTAAATTTGAATGAACTTCAATTTGATACATATAATTATGCATGTGAAGTGTTTAATAAATATAATTTCTTAAAATATTAGAACACGAAAACATGTAATTTGAAAACTTTAACAAAATAAAATTATTTGAACATTTTAAAATTTATTTACTACACTTAAAGATCAAAGACCATAAATCAAAGCATATTTCAGAGCATTCATTTATTCAAATGCTCACTATTGCAACTGGAAGAGCAACTTTTCAACTAACATACCTGTTTTCAATGAACGGATGAAAGAAATGGTCAAAAGCTGACCCCTTACAGTTTCCCCTGATGGTCAACTCACAAAAGGGTTTAGATTAGCTTTTTACACTATTTCACCAAACAAGTGAAATTTTAACATACATTGCAAAAATGACAGACTCAATACGAC